CAAATTGTAAATATTTCTTAACATTCTGTATGTAATTTTTGAATACTGAAGGATAATAAAAGATAAAGGTGAAGAAGAGCTCTACATTGAAAACATTTCTAAAGAATTTTCAATTTTGTCCTGTTGAAGGTAAAAATATTTAAGGTCGTAGAAACGTTAAGGTCGTAGAAAACAACATTCAGGTAATGATTTAGAATCTATCATGAATCAGATCTAACAATGAACTAGTTAACATAACCTGGGTAGAGAGATGTTTTGATTTCTATCATTAGTTCAATGCTACCTCTTTTAACTAGTAAAAAAAAAAAAAAATGCTGGGTTAATAGTGCCCTATTCTTCTGGCTGATAATAAAAACTATCAAGAGCAGTTCAGTTTCTGACAGACCAGGCAAAGGGCATTATCAGAAAGGCCAAATCCCGTGACAGCCTGGGCTGCTGAGATACACAGTTTACTTGTTCAGATGATACGGAGAGTTCCAATTTGACTTTCTCACAACTTCATGCATAAGTAAACCCATACTAAGGAAAGAGATGGCCCAGCACAGCAAATCCTGGTACCAAAGGGCTCATTAACATCATAGTCATCCATACCCTCATGATTCTAACTTCTTCAATATAGGAACATTGAACATCTGAGTAATTGGTGCTATTTCAATCATTTCCTTTTTATCACAATACCCAACCCAAATAAACAGGTCTCCCTAATTTTTCTTTAAATTCCTTGTGTAACTCTTGTGAATTATGTAAAAATACTTGGGGATAGACTCACCAGAATTTAGATAAGATGGTCCCTTATTTCTCAAATTACTTAAGAACTGGTTCTACAACAAGCCGACTTAAATTTTCCATATGATCCAAGTAAAAATAAGAGAGAAAGCAATGCTAACTAGGGTACAAAGCTCTAAAAGATTATATTCTCCTTTCTTTACAAACCATAGTTGGGAGGGGAGGGAAGGGGTACCACCATTCACAAAGATACCAGAGTACAAACCAAACTATGTTTTTCTTTTACTTAAAAACCTTCCAAAGCCTGGGGCACCTGGCTGGCTCAGTCAGTTAAGCGTCCAACTTCAGCTCAGGTCATAATCTCACAGTCCGTGAGCTTGAGCCCCGCGTGGGGCTCTGTGCTGACAGCTCGGAGCCTGGAGCCTGCTTCAGATTCTGTGTCTCCCTCTCTCTCTGCCCCTCTCCCACTCACGCTCTGTCTCTCACACTCTCAAAACTGAATACAGGCTTAAAAAAAATTAAAAACAACAACAACATTTCAAAAGCTCCCTTTTCCAAGAAGATCAAGTCCAAGCTTCCTGAAACAGTATCAGAAGTCTTCAGTAGGAGTGCACTATCAACTTAAAGAAGTGAAGCCTAAGAAAGCATTCCTAGGAAAAGCTACTTCTAAGCTAGTCAGGTGAGGAGGGTGAGGATTAGGTAGAGTAAAGCCCAGAGATAGAAATCTATAGTATGTATAGGCAAATACAAGCAGCTAGGTATTGTGAAAACTTAGTATGAGAGAGATTGGAACCAAAATTAGTACTTAGTATGAGATAGAAAAGGACCGAAATTTAACCAAATGAAATTATTTAGAACTTTAGGGTGCACTCAAATGGCCTATCACAAATCAACCTCCAGGCTTCCATTTTAAAATTGAGATAATTTTGTATTTTCTATTATTTTTACTTGTAAATAACTGTACAAACTATATATGTGTATGTGTGCGTGTGTGTGTGTGTGTGTGTGTGTGCGTGTGTGTGTGTGTATGGCATATGTGGCATATATGTATATGCAACTAAGGATAAAATTCCCCTCTAATCACTTTAAAATTCCTACTCTCAGAAACTAGTCTGGCATGTATATTCTTTCAGACCTCTCAATATACTTCACACTCATAAATATGTACACACAAAAATACACAGTATTGCATCATGTTCCTTGATGTTCAAAGGTTTCCATGTAAATGGCATACTTCAGCTTGCTTCTTTTATTTGAAAATGTTTTGGAAGTCTATCCATATTAAGTCGAAATAGATCTAACTTATTCTTTCACATTTTGGCAAACATACACCTCAATTAATCTAGCCATTCCCTACAATATGGCAAACACTATATTGGATATTTAGGTAATGAGAATGTATTTTCACAGTGCCACTCAGAGTTTGGCAAGCTAGAAAGTAAAGAACGGTTCTCGGAATCACACACACTCATCTCCAAAATCCAGCAATAATGTGCCTTCTTGGTGACAATAGTTTGTTTTCAGCTTAATTGATTCCTCTTGTGAAACTGAACCAGACTGATAATTCAGAGAAACTTCAGTTTTGTATTCCAAATGAAGCCAGAGAAAATAAAATCTTGGTAAATACTTGTCAGAAAAGTGTGAATGTCTTCTGAAATTGTAATTTTATTTTTACCAAATAGCCCTAGAAAATTTATATATCCATTTTCCATTGAGCTCAAGGTGTATCAGTACATTATCTAGTTATCTCAACTTAGTTATGCTCAATCCACATGATCCATTTGAGTCAAAACAGCTGAACTTCCTTAAATAAATTAACAACATTTTTCTTTTCTGATGAAGTTTAATAATCACTGCATCTGACATATTATAAAGTTGGTAAGAAAATATAGTCATGGGAACCCCTGAGGATTCAGCAAGATGAGTCAATTCCAAATGTTCCCTGACCTAAGGAAAGAGATCAGTAAATCTCTTCATTAAAGTTTCATCATGTTTTCAACTGCATTAAAATAAAAATTTTATTTAAAAAAATTTTTCTGGGGGCTGCCTGGGTGTCAGGCTCTGTGTTGACAGCCCAGAGCCTAGAGCCTGCTTCAGATTCTGTGTCTCCCTTTCTCTTTGCCCCTCTCTCACTCTTTCTTTGTCTCTCTCAAAAATAAACATTAAAAATTATTTTTTAATAAATAAATAATTTTTAATGTTTATTTTTGAGGGAAAGAGCACACACATGTGAGTGGGGGAGGGAGAGAAAAAGAGAGGAAGAGAGAGGATCCCAAGCAGGCTCTGTGCTGATAGCAGAGAGCATGAGGCAGGGCTCGAACTCACAAACCTTGAGATCATGACCTGAGCCAAAGTTGGACACTTAACCAACTGAGCCACTCAGGTGCCCCTAAAATAATAATTTTAAATCTGCATGGCTGTCTTTAGTTTCTTTTAAACATACTGGAAGTTGGCAGTGATTAAGCATACAAATATTAGGAGCATCCTTTTTACAATCTCAGTCACTGCCTCTGAAAAAACCAGCAGTCAAGGTGGCAAGAAAGGTCATGCACAAAGTCTTCTAATTAATGATTTAAGAAGATATAAATAGGGGCGCCTGGGTGGCGCAGTCGGTTAAGCGTCCGACTTCAGCCAGGTCACGATCTCGTGGTCCGTGAGTTCGAGCCCCGCGTCAGGCTCTGGGCTGATGGCTCAGAGCCTGGAGCCTGTTTCCGATTCTGTGTCTCCCTCTCTCTCTGCCCCTCCCCCGTTCATGCTCTGTCTCTCTCTGTCCCAAAAATAAAATAAAAAAAAACGTTGAAAAAAAAAAATTAAAAAAAAAAAAAAAAGAAGATATAAATACACTAAACTTCTGTTTTGATTTGAATAAACTTTAAAATCCAATTTTATTACACTCTATATATTCATTCTACGTTAAAATAATTGACTTCTTATATGTTCTGGACATACCTCTCAAATTCCTTATTTGCAAATAGGCCCTAATAGTTCACATATACTAATTAATTAGATACAAGATTGGAGGTTATATGTGTTTACTTGTGTATTTGTTTTAGGAATAAGTGATTCTCAAGAAGGTTGTACTCTAGCAAGGCACTTTGGTCAAGGAATAGCCTGTCGTGTCCCTGATCTGGTGGAGGTCAAACTAACGAGATCACTAGAAATATTATTTTGACTAGGACTTGTCCCATAAAAATACAAACATAGGCCACAGATAAGTGCTGCATATGTACCTTTAAATTCTCTAGTGACCACATTAAAAAAGAAGAAAATGGTAAAATTAATTTTAGTAATTTATTTTACCCAATATATCTACAATACTATCATTTCAATGTGCGATCAAAAACTTTAAATGACTGATATTTTATATTCTTCTGTTCACACTAAATCTTCAAAATCCAGTGTTTACAGGATTAGTCGTATTTCAAGCGTTGAAAAAGCCACATAAAGCTAATGAATAGCAAACTGGACAGAACCAATATGGGGGGAACACCAGAAGCTTTGGAATAAATGAAGATCTAAGTTTGAATTCCAATTCTGCAATTCACTCAGCTACATGACTATGAGCCAGTTATATAAATTCTCTGAGCCCTGCTGTTCTTATCAGTAAACAGGAATAATACCATCTGCCTAACAAATTTCTTAAAAGAATTCAAGATAATATATGTAAAGTACCTTGGCATATTATGTGCCTGACATGGAACAGAAGTCAGTAAAATCCTCCTCATCCTCATCATTATATAAATTGAAGAAGAAAAAGTACCATTGTAAGAAAGCTGAAATTTAAACTGAAAAATGTGAAGAGAAAAATACACAAAGAAACAAAAACCTGAAATAAGATTATCAAAATGTTTTCTAACTAAATTTAGTCATAAATCCACTATTATCCATACAAAATAAAAACAAACAAAACTCATATTTTCCAAAATTATGAATAATGCCAAAATAAGACACTGCTAAAACTAGAGATATGGTGATATTTGTCTTTTTTTTTTTTTAAAGCAAATTTGCTTTCTTCATTACTGTTGCCAAGGCTAATATTAGTTTCTATTTCTACAGGGGGATAAATGGCTAAAAAGTTGAGTAGAAGCTTATCGGCATGAAAATGCAGTACTAAAAATGCTTACAAATAATCTACAAAGAGTATGAAGCATACTGATAACTGAGCATTCTCTGTATAGTATGTAATGACAGTTTTTCCAAATAATTGTTACAGAATATTTGCATCCACTTCTATAAGATATTAAAATAAAATATAAAAAATAAAGAAAACATACCTCTGATAAAAATGTTTGGGCCGATTTCTGAGCTCCTACATGGAGCAGATATTCATATACGTAGAGTGCTAACCTGGAAAATAAATAAAGTATGTATTGAGAAGATGTATATTTTTAAATTTTTTTTTTTTTTTTTTTAGCGTTTATTTATTTTTGAGACGGAGAGAGACAAAGCATGAACGGGGGAGGGTCAGAGAGAGGGAGACACAGAATCTGAAACAGGCTCCAGGCTCTGAGCTGTCAGCACAGAGCCCGACGTGGGGCTCAAACTCATGGACCGCTCAAACTCACTGGGCCAAAGTCGGCAGCTTAACCGACTGAGCCACCCAGGCGCCCCAAGAAGATGTATATTTAAAATTCACTCTTTAATGCACATACCTTTTCATTACAAAAATATCTTACACACTAACAGTGACAGAAAAACAACTCTTCCCATTGCTATTTAATGGGAGTTTATACATGTCTGTTCAGAAAGAACTTAAACTAATTAAAATAGCACACAAAGAAAAAAAGCAAATATAGCTTTTCTTGACAAGAAACACCTAAAAGGGGATTTTGTCTTTGATCATGTCACTTATCATAACCTCGTTCCCTTTGTCATGCCTAATATAATTGATAATTTATAACTCAACATTAATAATCTCCATAACCTATTGTTATAATTATTATCTTTCATTATTAAAATAAATGAATTAAGTAATTGGACCTTTCCAACAACTTTATATCCTTCAATCTTCTTGGTGAATATTAACATAAACTCCAGCTATTTGCACATCTCTATGCTAATATGGATACTCAAAGTCCATTTTAATATTTGTTCAGGCAACCTGTCCTTAGTCTTTAGGTATGATTATTAAACCAACAACATAGTACATTAGTTTGTAAGAATTCAAATTATCAGCAAACCACAACATTAAGCAGACTTTAAAAACAGCAAATCATATTAAGCATTTGGATGCTTATAGTTTACAGGTTAACACAAAATTACATATAAATTTATCATTTAAATATAGACTATTAAGTATGCACTATACACTTGTACTATTCTCATTATCTTGTGGATTCAGAATTTTAAGCTACACCATGTGGCTCAATTTCAGTTGAGCTGTTAACAAAATATTATTCATAAACTCAAATTAGTCTGAGGCAGTATTTTTAATGATATCTTGGACTGATGCCCAGATAGCTCACAACAGTTCAGTTTCTGCTACACTATATTTACCAATATTAAGCCAGGTTTACAGTAAACAAAACAATGTAATAATAACCACAATTCTGTAGAGCTACACCATTTCTCTTGCCAAGTGAATTTCTGATTGTTAAAGACTGATAGCATTTGCAAAAATGAATATTTTCTTCATTTTCATGAAAAATATCATGCGTGTCATGAAAAGAGAAAGCTAGTAGAAATTCAATTGCTCTGTCCATTCAATTCTTTCCCCATTCCAGAATTGCCAAACACTCAAAATGAGAATTACTCCGTGGTTACCAAGTACCACAAGAGAGTAGACATCTGTTAAAATTACACTTAGATAAAAAGTATGTTATTAGAAACATCTCCTAACCTCTTCAAGTTGAATGACACTTCTTAGATCGTGTTTCTCAACACTTTTTCTACCCTAACACACATGAGGAACATGATATCTTCCTTTTGATTGCCTTATCTCCTGTGGAAACATGGCTCATCCCCAAAGTACATAATGAATATGGGAATAATAATATTCCTATAGTTGCAAACAATCCCTACTAGTGATTCTTTTTTTTTTTTAATATTTATTTATTATTGAGAGACATAGATGGAGCGTGAGTAGGGGAGGAGCAGAGAGAGAGGGAGACACAGAATCTGAAACAGGCTTCAGGCTCTGAACTGTCAGCACAGAGCCCGACACAGGGCTCGAACCCACAAACTGCGAGATCATGACCTGAGCCGAGTCAGACGCTTAACCGACTGAGCCACCCATGCGCCCACCTACTAGTGATTCTTACTACATGTTCTTTAAATACACGTATCCCACACAACCTGTCCTTCCACTAACTACTCCCAAACCTATCACATGATTCTCTGACCACAGTGGCAAATCTCACCTCAAAAAAGAATTGTGAATTTTTCCTGGAGAGACTATGAAGCCTCAAAATTGCTTGCTAGTGACAGTGTCACCCTACTGCCTGAGAAGAAACCTTTTCTTACAGCAATTTCTTACAGTTGGTCAAATCTTGGGCCTGGCACCAAACCAGTGTTACCCACTAAACAAGAAAAGGCTGAACAATAAGGATGTTCCACCAAGCTTGGAAAAGTAGGAAGCAAGAGGCAGAGCATGAAGCAGAGACAGCAGGTGGGCCTTGGAGGAAGGGGAATGGACCCCAGAACAGCACAAGTGTTGCTGCGTCCTTGCAATGAACACCATTCATTCCAAGTTAAGCAAATCACTTCCTCATAATCTCTTCTTTGTAATATTAAAGGAGCTAATATATTTCTACTATGTTTTTCTCAATTATATAATAAAATGGATATCTCTTTACAAGTGGAATTAAAAGCAACAATCTGTACTCTTTCTCTATGGATCTAAGACAGTGATTATAAAAAATGTATTGGCTGGAGAGCCTGGGTAGCTCAGTTGGTTAAGCATCTGACCCTTGATTTCTTGAGGTCTTGAGATCAAGCCTCTTTCCATGTGGTTCTGCACTGAGCATGGAGCCTGCTTGGGATATTCTCTCTCTCTCTCTCTCTCTCTCTCTCTCTCTCTCTCTCTCTCTCTCTCTCTCCCCCCCCCTCCCACTCCCCCTCTCCTCTCTCACTTTCAAAAACAAACAAACAAGCAAAAAAAAAAAAAACAACTATTGGAAGAGTCACAGAATCAATGGAGAAAAGGTGTCTCAAACTACATAACTAAAAATTCCGAAGCATCTTCTACGTGGTATGCTTGTCCTCCTACCTTTGGAATGTGTGGAGTACAAGCACATCACCACCAACAGAGTGATACAGTGGGATAGGGCAGAAAAAAAACCTATCCATAATGTTAGCTCATATGTCCAAGTTCCATAACCTCCCTTGAACAAAATTAATGCTGCCAGGCAGTCAAGATCTATACTCCAGAAAGAGTGGCTCTGCTACCATGACCACTCCATAATACATCACCAGCAAATCTCCAATATTTTAACTATCGCCTCAGGGCAAAAGACTTCCCAAACCTATCTCTTTAGCCCTATCCTCTCTACTACACTCCAAACCTGCTGCTCTAAATTACTGTTTGAAGTTCCTAACATGATACTTCTCTTTAAATTGATCATATCCAAAGTTAATTCATCTTCTCCATCTGTTTATAGTACCCATGCTCACCTTGAGTGAAATAGAATGTGAGTCTTCAATTCCTCATTTGTAAAATGGGAAGAATATTTTCCCATGACTGTTAAAATTTCACATAATTCTCTGACATCCAGTAATATATTACCAAGTCATGTAATGGACCTTAATGTCACAATCTCTCCCACATTTGCCAGTTCTTTCTATCCCCCTGCCTACCCCTGAGGAACCACTAGGAGCCACAGCAAGAGCAGAATCATTTGCTCTAGCTTCAGATACAGGTACTGTGTATTTCCAATTAGCTCTCATAGTAGAGGCATCAGGGCCACTAGAAATAAGAAACTCCAGAAGGTTCTGGGGGAAAGCCCTGCAGTTAAAGATAACATTTGAACACAGATGATTCCAAGGCTGGAGAGTAACACTTACCCATCCATGCAGGTAAATCATGGCATGGTCCCTTGCCTGCTGGCATGATATTACCAAACATAAGACAACATTTTGATTCAATTTCTACTGAACAGTAAAAATTTAAAAGTAAATATTGAATATGCAAATATTTAAACCATGTATACTCTCAAATTAACTTCATTTTCTTTTTTGGGAATCCTTGAAAAATTTGTAATTTTTGATGATTTAGAGTGGCTATTTAACCTAGTGGATTATAGTGTGATCCAAATACATAAAAAATTAAGAATCATCCAATAATATTTTATATACACATATACATAAGTATATGTATACATATAGTGTATAGAAAAAGAATAGAAGGAAACGTGAGTTACAGCTACTGGTAGAAACATTAATAACAATAAGAAGTAACAAATTAAGTCTTATTAGTACAGATGGGGAGAGAAAACCTAAAGAAAGCATTAAGACCTATGGCCTACTTAGAGTGGGAACAAACACGCCCATACATCCTTCAGAAGGCCTGAGGGCAACATTTCTTATAGCATGGTCCTCTAATTAAGAATCATAATGATAGTTTTATGTCTCCAACAAAAGTTTAAACTTTATGCCACTCACACTACACAAAAATCTAAGATATTTAGCTATATAAAAATATTAAACCTCTGATAATACTTTCTGCAAACATTTTTCCTCAGTTTGTTGTTTGACTTAATTTGGGTAGTGATTTTTTTTTTTCCGGGGCAGGGGCATTTAGGTACTTTTGATATATAGAAAATATAGAAATAACTAATATGAAAAAAATGCCCAACACATAGATAAATGGGCAGGGACAATAACAAATATCATGACTAATTTTAAAACATGGAGACTGTCAGGGCACCTGGGGGGCTTAGTCCGTTCAGAGTCTGACTTCAACTCAGGTCATGATCTCACAGTTCATTAGTTTGAATTCCGCCTCAGGCTCTGTGCTGATAGCTCAGAGCCTGGAGCCTGCTTCAGATTCTGTGTCTTCCTCTCTCTCTGCCCCTCCCCCAGTCACACTCTGTCTCTGTCTCTCTGTCTCTCAAAAATAAACATTAAAATAAATTATCAAATAAAATAAAACATGGAGAAGTTAAATATCATTGTGAATCAAAGAAATATATATTAAAGAAATAATAGGATTTAAATTCTCACTTAAACACATAATATGTGAGGAAATGGACACTCAAATAATGCTGAGGACAATAAACTGGTATTATGCTTTCAAAACCAATTTGGCAATAAATATGCATCAAGAATTTGGAAAAAAAATTTATAAACTTTGACCCAGTAATTCTATTACTGGAATCTAGCTAAAGAAATTATCCTAAATGTAGAAAAGC